GAGCCGCCCGGTGCGCGGCTGCAGGACTGGGTAATGGCAGGGCTTCCCCTCGAAATCCACCCAGACCGGGAGGACGGAGCGGGGGCTGCGGTTGTTGAAGACGACTTCGGAGAGCTCACGGGTTTTGACAGAGCGCAGGCACGGGCCCACCCCCTCCGGTCCCTGTCCCGGACCCGGTCCCGGTGGCGCCATCACTGCGTCCGCTCTCTACCACGGCGGCTCGGCGACGCGCATGCGCGGACGCCCCCTGACGCATGCGCGGTGCTTAACCGCCGTGGCGCAGAGCGGCGAAGGTCCGGGCTCCTGTGGGGTTTTTTCGCTACAGCCCGGCTTTTATCCGGTTTACCAGCAAAAACATCACCTTCCACACCAAAAGGGAGTAGCGGCATTTTACTGACCTCACTCTAACCTTTAACTGAAGAGAAATGCACAGAAGGCCATGCAGTGTTACTGGGCTTGGCCTTCCTTTAAAAAACAGACCAATATTACGTATTAAAAAATGTAATATATGCAGGTTGAATTGTGAAGTTCACTAAAGCGGGAGTAGTTGGATACCACCTCAGGCACTGACCGTGTGTGTCACCTCAGCGTCATCATATGAACCACACCGTGTGAAACACAGCGAGCTGCGTTATCATTTACTGGACAGGGAGCAGAAAAAAAATACAATTAAGACTCATCTGCTATGCAAAACTCCTAAAACTTTAATATTTGTTAATTCACCTCTAAACACACGTACTCAGCAGGAGAATACACTTCCATAAAAATGGCAAATTAGTGTTTTCAGCTTCTGATGAGCAACGAGACTGGAGAAATCACATTTACAGAAGAAAAAAATATTTGCAACTTCAAGTTATTCAACAGGTGATCTATTTGATGTAAATACTGAGGCATAACTACAGCAATCGAATTGCCTAATGAGGTTAAACATATTGCCACCTTGATGTGTCTACAGGAGACACTAAAAACGTGAACTTTTTAAATATGATTGCTGAAAGTGTTTTCTCAAGTAGTAACCACAGGCAGTTTGCTAAGGCTGTGTGCGTCACCCCCTCCCACAGCAGTGGTGCATTGAAACATGGATTAGACATTTAGTAATAGCCCTAAGTTGAGGTAACAGGTAAGAAAAACAGTATCATCGGCACACTGCTTACTAATTGGCATTTGCTTCTCAGACCATAAAAAGCAGACACTGGTTTATCGTCTTAGCTTACACTTGGGCAATGGTATTAACTGGAAAACTTCCATTTGGAAAAATCCTACGTTTAAGGAGATACTACCTCTAACCTCTCAAGATGACAGTGTCAGTAGTCCCGTGAGCCATTTTAACACACAGGAATGACTTCTACAGTTTGGGAAATAAACTCTCTGTTACCTCCAAAGCTGCCTTAATGTATTTTCTACTATAAGCAGACTAAACAAACATTTAACTGAAAAATACAATGGATGTGGTAGAGAAGGCTCAGATAAAGTGTTACAAATTCCACCACTGAAATTCAGTTGGGGTGGCAGGGAGGAAAGAGGGGATTTAAATAACAAGGTTTTGGAACACGTAGTACAACTGGTAGCTCTCAAGTTGATCCCTGGCTTAATACTCGTGTTACACAACTTCTCCATCAGTTGTTTGGTTTTTCCCTCAGGAACTGACAAGCCTGTGCTCTTGAGCATCTGCTTTACCAGCCTACAGACTCTGGAGGTGTCTCTTCTCCTCTCTCACACAGGTTACCAGAACGATTTCTTTTCTTCGGCTCTCTCCCAGGTGCGTTTCAGAAGGTACACGGCAGCGTGCAGTCCCCCTACATTCACCCACACTGTCTGCCCCTTGCGCCAGATGTGCCCCATCCGCGACAGCGCCTGTAAGCCAGAAAAACCAGCCAGAGAGCAGTGGTGGCTTCAAGATAAGGTCATCAAGCTAGATTTGTTTTAGAAATCATTTTTGGTTATTCTGAATCCCATCTGATGGCAATGTCAAATGACTCTACAGGTCCAAAACTACGTTTAAATGTTACTAAATATTGCTCTAAAAACAGGTCATCTTCTGTAATGCAGTCATCTTATAATTTTTTTCTCAGCATCTTTTAACATGTAAATAGGTTTGATTTTCTCGCACAGAACATACCTTGGCAAAGCATTTCTTGTCCTGCGTGAGCAGCACAGCCCTGCCGGTCCCCGGTGTGCAGATCCGACCCATCTCCATCAGGCAGGCTGGGTAGAGGTCCCAGTTCTTCTTCTTTGACCCTATCCTGCAAAATAAATTAAGATCTCTTTGTGGTCGTTGGAAAGCAGTTATCTGTTGCTGGTCTTTCAGATGTGGATTAGCTCATTCAGGACCAAACCCACTAAGGTCAACCTGCATTTTTAAATACAGACATCAATACTTCTGAATTAGGGCCAGCTACGTAACGAACTGGAGAGAACCCTAACGCTGAATGGGGGAGCACACGGAGTGACGCAGTGCAGTGTGGTGCCTTCGGCAGCGGCCCTCACCTCTTCCCGAACGGCATGTCCGTCACAATGATGTCCACAGAGCCCGTGCGCAGCGGGAGGTTGCAGATATCCCACTGCACGATGTCCAGGGGTATGCCCGAGGGAGCGCTGCTGCAAGGGCAAACACGTTTATCTCAGACATGGCTTACTGAGAGTGTTTCTAAGTTGAGGAGGTCTATAATGTTAGCAAAAGAATAAATAGGGAAATATGAACGAGACAGTCGAATGCATTGATGCAAGATGGATTTCTTTACGTACAATACTACAGGAAAAGAAAATAACATACACTCTTCTCACCTTTCCTTATTCTCGTGTTTCTTTAGTAAAGAACAGATGTTGTTTGCTGCTCTCTTTACAGCCTGTGGGTTATTATCACCAGCAATATGGTAGCAGCTAGGCCATTCTGTAGCTCCCTGGGGGGAAATATTGGTAATAAGCAACATTAGCATCAACATGGCTCAATTTAAAAAAACCAACAAAAACCACCACCAAAGCAAACAGAGGAAGTACTCAAATATGACAGAACAGCACAAAGCAACTGGAAGTGGATGTCAATTATTTTTAACTTCTGTAACAGTTCCTGTTATAACTATTATGCATCTCAAAATACTTTTGAATTTACTTTGTTCCTGCTATGGCTCTGGGAGGGAACATGAGGTCATTTACCAATGATGTACTTTTATCTGGTCAAAAGCTGGGAGAGGCACATTTGGAGTTGCCTTTCAGTCATTATCAAGAAAGCTTACACATGTTATTCAGCTGTCAAGCGTTATTAGGTTACAAAATAAAGGAAGAGTCACCTCTATTGGTATCGCACCCGTACCACACATGGGATCCACGATTATGTCTGTGGGCTGCGGGTCACAAAGTCTGAGGAACAGAAAAAACGATATGGTGAGAAAAGTCCTGAAAACACAAATTTCTGTAAGGCACAAAACCGGAAATCGTGATCGCTCCCATTCCACCCTTTTAACAGAACAGTTTTACATGGTTGCTTTTTCCATTTGTTAACTCGCATTTGATAAGCACCAATACAATGAAATACTTTTCAGAATGCAATTCAGTATTTTGCACACTGGCTAACGGATCACAGCAAGTACTCACTTGACCAAGCTGGAAAGCATCCACTGCCCATTACAAAGCACACTGCTTCAGCAACCTTTGCTTTTTTTAGAGAACTAACAGAAACGGCTTTTGAGGACGCAGTGGGGGCACAAAGGATATAATTCCTGAACCAAAATGACTGTTAACAGAGTATTAACACACTGACCTAAGCATGCCATAAGCGAGAGTTGAACGAAGAGTTGTGGGTCCAAAATGTGTAATATTTCTTCTGTGGAGACTCTCTTCAGTTAACGCAATGCCCACAACTACTTCATTATTGTGAATGTTCAGAAGAACCTAAAGAAAAAGCTTGAGCTGAATTTCTGGAGTAACAGAAGTTTTCCACAGTATGCCTGGTAAATATGAGAATCTTAGGTGGTGATTTTAAAAACAGGAAATACGTATGAAAGAGCACTCTTGGAAGAAAAGCAACGCACCATTTTAAGGGCAACAATGCCAAAATCCAGGAGAGCATTCACACGTTTTCTCATTCACGCAGAATCTTCTACACAAGGCTTCAGAAAATGCTATAACCATTATGCTGACTTTTTAAAAGTTTTGTTTTTAGAAGTACGTGGAGAAGTTGGGAAGTCCTACAAGTGACCGTGAAGCATTTTCAAGGCTGTAATAAAAATCATACTCCTGGTCTCCTCTACCATATTCATTTAGAAGGTGAAAATACCATGACAGGACAGTGGGCCAGCCCCCAACAGACCTGCAAGAGAAAGTTCATTTTCCTGCCCCTCAGCAATGGCGATCCCACACTATGGAGGGACCACCCTGCTGGACATCCTTGCCAAACCTCTGCTTTCCCTGCGATAAGAAATAAACAGCAGGCAGTTACTGTTAACCCTTTTGTCCCCTTCAACCATAAAACTACAGCTTCTGGATGGAGTATCTTACACTGATATAAAGCAACGGATTAAGGAAAGATCTAATGAGGGTAAAAACAAAGCAGAAGGCACTGACATTATATTTAAATACCAATGAGACCAAACACTACAGGAGGAGGTAGCACTGGGTACCAGAGCTTTTGCTGCAGCTGAGGGAGAGGGGAAAGCTTTGGAGCACCAGCTCAGCTGCAGGGGCTGCAGTGCTATTAATGGGTTAACCTGGGGAGACACCAGCGGCTGCAGAGCAACAGAGGGACCCAAGGAAGAGGAGTGGTCCCACACTGCGCCACAGGACAGAGGATTATTACGGACAGCCAGGCACCAGCAAGTGGTGGGATCTGAGGACACACAGAATGTGCCAGCACAACAAATGCTTCATGAGGTCGGGATTGCAGCATTACTAAGTTTTAGATCCAGAGTCATCTTTTGAAGGCATTTTGGAGATCTCTAAACATCAGAATTAGGAACTAAGATGGTTTAAAATAGAAGTGCAGGCATTGCCAAGGCACAGCACCATACCTCTACGTCAAAGTTGGTCATGTCGGCTTTCCACTGGAAGTGCTCCTGCACGGCTCCCCCAAAGTACCTCGCAGCGTCGTTGGACGTGAAGCTGTGCTTGTCCCCTGCCCTGTTGCACGTCACTCGGAACTTCAGCACCTTCGTGTCCCCGTCACTCGCCTTGCTGTCATCACCAGCGCTGGCCTCACCCCCACATCCTGCCTGCAATTCACCCTTAGCATCCGATTGTTCGTTATCGCCCTCTTCCTCGCCCCCATTCTGGGGTGCTGTTCCTTCTGCCTTTTCTGTATCCTGGTCACTGGCAGGTTCTGCCCCTGCAGTGATTTGGGCACAGTCCTCCTCTTTACCAGCGTCTTTTGGATCTGTGCCTTCCTCTTCTCCATCATCATTCAATTTCTCTTTGCTTGCAGTACTCTGCAGGTTTTGTTTTTTGCGTTTTGTCTTTTTCTTTTTTAAGCTGTTGTTCAGCTCCCAAACTTTCAATGGATCAGTCCAAGGCAGCTTTTGAACCAAATCTTCCAAATCCTTTAGAGCATCTTCCTTTAAAAGACAAGAAGAAGTTGTGCTTTGAAATAATTCCCTCCCTTTAAAATCTATCCTTTTTTTTAAGTCTCTCAGATCACTTTCCTAAACACATAACCCTCTACACATTTAGGCAAAGCTTACAGCTTTTTGTGCAATGTTTACCATAACTAAACTGAATTTCGCTTTAAGTCACAGGACCCATAGTATTTCATCATTTATCTTGTCAAATAAACAGCCAACAGTTAATTCAAAGTGGCACTTTACTCCCCTCTGTCCAAGTGTGACCTACAGGCCTGGTATTGGCTCCCATGCCAGACTCTGCCTGTGCAGCACAGGTAACTGAAGGAATTATGTCAGACAACACAACTGCGCTTCCATTTTACCAGCCAGCAATGGGAACTGGGATAATATCACAAATAAAATGAAAAACCCTCGCCCATGAAACAGAACGCTTTCTGAAACTAGTCTTAAATTTAAAAAAACACTCCATAAACCATAACTGACTGAAAATTGAGGAGTAACTCACCTTGTTTTCTTTAAACTGATAGTCCTTGAACTCCTGAACAACAACAAACAAATTGTCCACTGACCTTAGTCGATGGACCTAGAAAAAACGAGAAGCCACAACGTCCCGTTACTGACCACGCATGTCCGGGGATGTGGTGGTTGTGACTACAATCCTGTCATCTTATGTTCAGATTTACCAGACTCTATTTTCCCACGTTTTTGCTTTGTTACTGCTTTATGTGCAAAGCCAGACGGAAAATTCGCACAAAGTCAGCTCTGCATCTTTGACTTCACCCACCCTTGCAAACACAACACAGGTCTGGGCACAGGTCCTGAAACCACGGCAGCCCAAGCAGAATTTGTAACTGTTTTTCATAGCGGTTCCCGTTAAGCCGAAACTATTCCGCTCACGACAGGCTCAGGTCCTGCCCTTGGCATTAAACCCACCGCCGGCTCGTCACAGC